TTTAGGTTAGATGGGCTTCAGATTGGTTTCACAGGTCGGCGCAACATCAAGGGCCGAAGGGCCTGTACTGCGCTGTAATGTTCTATGTTCTATGTTCATACATTCCCACACTGTATTCCATCTGTCACTTCCTTGTCCATTCTCCTGGTCTGTCCAAGTCTTTCTGCAGCCTCCCCGCTTCCTCAACACTACCTTCCTACCCACTTTTGTGTCATCTGCAAACTTAGCAACAATGCCCTCTGTTCCTTTGTTCAGATCATTAATGTATAACATAAATAGTTGTACTGCCAAAACAGACTCCTGTGGAACTCTACTAGTCACTGGCTACCGTTCTGAAAAGGACCCCTTTATCCCTACTCTGTGCCTTCTGCCGGTCAAACACTCCTCTATCCATGCCAACACCTTGCCTCTAGTACCATGGGCTGTTATCCTATTTAGCAGCCTCCTGTGTGATATCTTATCAAAGGCCTTCTGGAAATCCAAACAGATCATGTCCACTGGCTCTCCTTTGTCTAACTTTCTCATTATCTCCTCAAAGAATTCCAACAAATTTGTCAGGCATGACCCTCACCGGCTTGACAAAGCCATATTGACACAGTTCTATTTTACCAGGCACTTCCAAATACTCTGCAATCTCATCTTTAATACTGGACTCTAAAATCTTACCCTGCCATTGAAGATTGGGTCAGTATATGGAAAGAATGCGTTTTTTTTTCAGGCAAATGACATCGGGGCAGATGAAAAGCAATGAGTAATTCTCCTGACAGCCTGTGGACCCACAGCTTTTTCAGTTATTAGGAGCCCAACTTTCCCCGAGACCACAGATACTAAAACCTTTAAGAGTTGATGAATTTAGTTAATGAATATTATGACCTCAAGCCTCCTCTAATTCTGAGGTGTTATTGGTTTTGGCAATTCAAAAACCAGGTAAAACTGCACCAGATTTTTGACTAAGTTAAGATGACTGGGAGAGGAATGTGACTTTGGTTTAAACCTTAATGAGACGCTGAGAGACCATTTGGTATGTGGGATTAATGATGTAACCATGCAAAAGCACTTACTAGCTGAAGCCCAGCTGGACTTCAAACAGGCACTACAACTGGCTTTATCATTGGAAAATGCAGCAAGTGGAGCATCTGAGTTGCAGGGCATTCCGGTGGAAGTGGACACCCTCATCAGTCTGACTGAGCTTGGGGAAACAAGGTGTAGAGCTGGATGAACACAGCAGGCCAAGCAGCATCAGAGGAGCAGAAAGGCTGACGTTTCGGGCCTAGATCCTTCTTCAGAAATGGGGGAGGGGAAGGGGGTTCTGAAATAAATAGGGAGAAAGGGGGAGGCGGATAGAAGATGGATAGAGGAGAAGATAGGTGAAGAGGAGACAGTCAGGTCAAAGAGGCAGGGATGGAGCCAGTAAAGGTGAGTGTAGGTGGGGAGGAGATAGGTCAGTCCAGAGAGGACGGACAGGTCAAGGGGGTGGGATGAGGTTAGTAGGTAGGAGATGGGGGTGGGGCTTGAGGTGGGAGGAGGGAATAGGTGGGAGGAAGAACAGGTTAGGGAGGTGGGGACGAGCTGGGCTGGTTTTGGGATGCGGTGGGGGAGGGGAGATTTTGAAGCTTGTGAAGTCCACATTGATACCATTGGGCTGCAGGGTTCCCAAGCAGAAGATGAGTTGCTGTTACTGCAACCTTCAGGTAGCATCGTTGTGGCACTGCAGGAGGCCCAGGATGGACATGTCGTCTGAGGAACGGGAGGGGGAGTTGAAATGGTTCACGACTGGGAGGTGCAGTTGTTTAGTGCGAACCAAGTGTAGGTGTTCTGCAAAGCGGTCCCCAAGCCTCCGCTTGGTTTCCCCGATGTAGAGGAGGCCACAACGGGAACAGCGGATGCAGTATACCACATGAGCAGATGTGCAGGTGAGCATCTGCTTGATGTGGAAAGTCTTCTTGGGGCCTGGGATGGGGGTGAGCTTGGCCTGCTGTGTTCATCCAGCTCTACACCTTGTTATCTCAGATTCTCCAGCATCTGCAGTTCCTACTATCTCTGACCTTGGGGAACACTGTTGAATGAAGGCAATTGCATGTCCTCACTCAGGTCATATCCTGAACATAGGGACTCTCGATCAGCCCCAGCAAAATCCCAAAACAAAGCCAAGCCTCAGCTAAACGGTTAAAATTTTCCTCAGGATCTAGGCTGGCAAACCATTGTAGTTGATGCCAGTATGTGCACTCAAGACAGCAAAAGAGTTCCATTCAACCTAAATTGAGTAAGGGAACTCGTGGGCCAGTAGCCAGGAGAGTGCAGATCTTAAAAACTACACTAAAGTCTGGTTTGGAACAGTTAAATTGCTTAGCAACATCCAAATCAGAACCAATCAAAATAAGCATCTGGTTAAATGGTCACCCAGTTCTAATGGAGGTCGATACTGGTTCTGCAATCACTGAAATGGCCGCACCAATCTTTAACAAAATTCGCTCTGGACTCCAAACCTCAAGTTCACCATGGCCTCGGATAGACTGAGAACTTGTACTGGGGAAACTTTACAGATTAAGGGTACAACTTCAGTTCCATCCCTTATGAGAAGCAGCTGGTTCAGTTACCACAGATTGCAGTAATAGGCTCAGGCCCAAGCTTGTTGGGATGAAATTGGTTCAGAAAGATTCAACTAGATTGGTCAACATTTCTTGGTTAGAAAATGGCTGCCTGAGTCAATTAAATACCCGGCAATTTTTCAGTCCCTGGACCTTCCGATCAAAGGAGCCAAGGCCACCTTGCATGGTGACCAGGAAGCAATGCCATGATTCTGTACGGCCCACCCAGTGCTATTTGCCTTACAGACAAAAGTAGAGGCAGAAATGAGAAGCATGGAAAGCGAAGGAAACATCAAACCAGTCCAGTTTGCAGAATGGTGCAGCACCGGTCTTACCGACTGGGAAGCCCAACGAGTTGGTTTGTCTTTGTGAGGATTTTAAACAAAATGGGAAACCACTTTTCACTACTGAATAAATACCCAATTCCTCACATAGAGGGCTTATACACAAAGTGGCTGGCAGCCGGGGTGGGGGCTATCCTTCATGAAGCCAGGAGCACTTGCAATTGCGGTTGGATGAGTATTCCCAAACAAATGCCACAGGCCATAAGGGTTTGTACCAATATACAAGACTGCCATTTGGGATATCATTAGCCTGTGTAATTTTTCAACAGATGATGGAAAACATTTTACAAGGTTTACCCAGGTCGCCATTTATCCACATGAGACACTAATAACAGGGAAGACCAATAATGAGCACTTAGAAACTTGGACATAGTCCTTGGACGTTTCTACCTTGCCAGCATATGCCTTGGAAGGAACATGGTGTGTTCCTGGCACGCCAAATGACCTACTTGGACTACAGAGTCAACAAGACCAGGTTATACCCATTGGAAGATACAGTGAGGGTGAACGAAGGTGCCCTGGCTCCCTTGCCTGTACTGGAGCTTAGGGCTTTCCTCGGGCTGATGAATTATTACAGAAAGTTCAAACATAACCTGGCCTCCATCCTGGCACCTTTCTATCAACTCTTAAAAAAGGGTCAGCCTTGGAAATGGTTGCATAGCCAAGCCAAAGCTTTCAGGTAAGTGCACAAACAGCTATCATCCTCTAAGGTTTTAGCAAACTATCATTCCAAGTGACATCTGATATTGACAAGCGATGCCTCCCCATATGGCGTCGGGACAGTATTAGCTCATAGGTGGCCCAATGGAGAGGAACACCCAATTGCATATGCATCCAGGACTTTGGCTAATGCAGAGTGTAAATACGCCAAGATAGAAAAAGAAGGTTTGGCGGTCATATTTGGAGTCAGGAAGTTCCACCAATACGTTTATGGACATAAATTTGTAATAATAACAAACGACAAAGCCCTGCTAGGTGTACTTAAACAGTACAAGGCAGTGCCACCCATAGCTTCAGGCTGAATTCAGTGGTGGGCTCTAACACCAAGTGTGTACAGTGCAGCATTCCTTCGGCACGGACTTTCCAACATGGGACTAGTTCAGTTTAGGATATCTGGTCAGTGCGACAAGTTGGACCAAAGCGTCTGTTTCCATGTTGTGTAACTCTATGAATCCCTCAGTGCTGTTCCTCCAACTGCGCTGTGCTCCTTCAGTAGTGTCCTCCCTCACAAGTGACCCTCCAATGATGTAGCACTCCCTCCATATTGACCCGCAGTTTGTCTAGTGTACATGATGTGGAGGTGCTGGTGTTGGGCTGGGCTGGATAAAGTCAAAAATCACACGTCACCAGGTTACAGTCCAACAGGTTTATTGAAAACACAAGCTTTCAGAGCCTCACTCCTTCAGACTAACACCTGGAGGAGGAGAGAGGCTCCAAAAACTTGTGTTTTCAAATAAAACTGTTGGACTATAACCTGGCGACATGTCATTTTTGACCTTGTCCACTCCAGTCCAGCACTGGCACCTGGTGTTGTGAGATTTCTGACCTAGTCCAATGTACTGCATTGGTTAACCGTAGCTCATTTGCCATCACTTTTCTGTCAAGGTTCAAGTGCCACTTCAGGGCTCTCAGAGATTCCATCTTATGAACAAGCACTTGGACACGAGGTCCAGCTGACCCCACAGTTGGGCTTTAATTACCCAATGTCATGATTTCAAATTACAGGAGGAAGTGTTTTTTTGTGTCTCTCAAACAGATCACCTAGTGATCACTACACTACCGCCTTGCAGACCGTGCTTCCACATTATATTATAAGCTTGACCACACTTCAAAAGTACTAAATTGACCATGAAGCTCTTCGGGATGACTTGTGGTCTGTAAGAATGCTACAGAAACGCAAATCTCTCCGAGTCCTAGCCTTGAATATGGAGCAATAGAATACTGCATAGTAACTAGCTCATCACTGACCTTGTTGTAGTGATGCTGCAGCAGGAGCCCCGGCATGGCCATGCAGCTGTGTCCTCTGTTGGTGTCTGGGAATGGGCACCGTGATCCTCACACAGGCCAAGCGTGGCAGCACTGGGAGAGGGGGGGGAAAGAGAGAGAGAGAGAGAGAGAGAGATACATACAGAGAGATAAACATCCAAATTACAACAGTCCCTCAGTCCATGATGAGTTGGCCCACTCACTCTGCCGCCATAATCCTTCAACAGCATGTCCTTGTAAATGTGGAAAGTATTTGTTATAAACCCAGAAGAGGGCCATTACTCTCAGACCGAGCCCAATAATCCTTGCCGACCAGCTCTACCCCTCTGAGCGGAGAGAGTCACTTACCAATCCTCAACAACCTCATTATCCGTCTCCTGCTCACTTTCAACAAACTTTATCAACACGGCAACAGTCTCCTATCCTCATCAAGATGGCGATCCGGACTACACCCGCAAGCGGAGCCCTCATCAAGATGGTGCCCCTGTCGGCACGCCACCCAAATTCGCCCTCATCAAAATGGACCCCCGAAAACACACTTACGCCTCACCAAGATGGCGGCCCGCGCAGCAATCGCTTTATTTTTAAACGTGTCCAAATAAACACTTAAAGGAGTAAAAATAAAAGTGTTGATCCGGGGTAACTTTCTGTAAATCGTTGTTTTTGACGGAGGCTCAGTACTGAGAGTGGGTTATTTACCTTTGCCCTCAGGTGAGTTTTTGTTTTTGGCCAGTCTTTTATCGATTTTTTTTTGTGGGAGCTTGCTTTGTGCAAATTGTTTACTTCATCACTAAATAACTAGACTTCAAAAATACTTCATTCGCCCTGAGGAGTTTTGGCGGGTTCTCAGATGTTTTGAAAGGTACAACTTTCTATTTGATGTTGCGAGTCGGTTAAATAGAAACAAATACTGCAGACTCTGTAAATCTGAAAAAAGCACAAATGCTGGAGAAGCTCAACAGATCTGGCAGCGTCTGCGGTGAGAAAAACTGAGTGACCAACCTGGTTCTGGCCACTTAGTGGGTGTATATCGTACAGCATGGACGCAGACCCTTCGGCCAAATCGTCAACACCATCCAGGTTTCTTAAGACGTTCATGTATCTGTCCAAGTATACTTTAAATATTGTAATTGTAACTGTACCCTCTAGTTTTAGACTCCCCTTTCTAATCCACAGATGTGCAGGTCAGGTGAACTGGCCATCCTAAATTGTCCATAGTCTCCAGGGATGTGTAGATTAGGTGGGTTAGCTGTGGGACATGTAGGGTTACCGGGATGGGATGGGATGGGGGGGGTGGGATGCTCTTAGGAGAGTTGGTCTGGACTTGTTGGGCCGAACGGCCTGTTTGCACACTGTAGGTATTCTTTTCTACACTGGGAACAAGACCTTAACTATTCACCTTATTTTATGCCCCTCATGATTTCATAAACCTCTATCAAGGTCACCCCTTAGTAGGTTCCTACACTCCAGAGAAAAAGCATCCCAACCTATCTAGCCTCTCCACAAAACTCAAACCCTCCAGACTGGGCAATATCCTTGTAAATCTTTCTGTACCTTTCCAAGTTTAATAACATCCTTCCTATAGCAGGGTGAGCCGAATTGTCTTGTACAGCCACACCATGATGTTGAAACTCCTGTACTGTTTAGACTCATAGAGTAATACAGCACGGAAACAAGTCCTTCAGCCTAAACTGGTCCATGCTGACCACGGTGCCCACTCAGCTAGTTCCAATTGCCCTCATTTGGTCCATGTCACTCTAAACCTTTCCCATCCAAGCACCTATCCTAATGTTTTTTTAAATGTTGCGATTATACCTGCCTCAACCACTTTCTCTGGCAGCCCATTCCACTTACACACCACTCTCTGCTTGAAGAAGTTGCCCTTCAGATCCTTCTTAAATCTATCCCCTCTCACCTTAAATCTATTCCCTCTAGTTTTCAATTCCCCATCCCTGGGAAAAAGACTATATACGTTTATCCTATCAATGTCCCTTGTGATTTTTAAAATTTCAATAAAGCCACCTCTCATTCTCCTATGTTTCAAGAAATAATGTCCTATCCTGGCCAACCTTTCCCGATAACTCAGGCCTACTAGTCTTGGCAACTTCCTCGTAAGTCTTCTTTGCACGCTTTCCACTTTAACTATATCTTTCCCATAACAGGGTGACCAAAACTGTACACAATACTCTCACTAACGACTTATATAACTGTAACATAATGTCCCAACTCCTAAACTCAATGCCCTGACTGATGAAGACCAGCATGCTAAATGCCTTCTTCACCACCCTGTCTACATGTGACACTGCTTTCAACAAACTATGTACTGGTACTCCTAGGTCCCTCTGTTCCATCCCACTCCTCAGGACCTTACCATTTACTGTATAAGTCCTACCTTGGTTTGACTTTCCAAAGTGCAATACCTCACGCTTATCTCTATTGAATTGCATTTGCCAATTGTCAGCCCACTTCCTCATATGATCAAGGTCCGTCTGTAATATTTGATAACCTTCCTCACTATCAACGATGCCTCCTAATTTTGTATCATTTGCAAACTTCACAATCATGGCTTGTATATTCACATCCAGATCATTTATGTAAATAACAAATAACAAAGGTCCCAGCCCCTGTGGCACACCACTAGTCACAAGCCTCTAGTCAAGAAACAATCTTCAGCCGCCACCCTCTGCTTCCTGCCATTGAGTCAATTTTGAATCCAATTAGCTAGCTTTCCCTGGATCCCATGCGACCTAACCTTCATGACTAGCTTGCTGTGCGGGACCTTGTCAAAGGCCTTACTAAAGTCCATATAGACAACATTCACTGTCCTACCCTCATCTATCCTCTTAGTTACCTTTTCGAAAAACTCTAAAAGATTTCTCACTCCTCACTTCCCACGCACAAATCCATGCTGATTATCTCTATTCAGACAGACCTTGACTATCCAAGTGTTGGTTGATCCCGTCCCTCGGTATCCTCTCCAGTAACTTGCCTACAACTGATGTCAGGCTCACTGGCCTGTGGTTCCCTGGCTTGTCTTTACTACCTTTCTTAAACAATGGAACAACATTAGCCACCCTCAAGTCTTCTGGAACTTCACCAGTGGCTAAAGATGAAGCAAAAATCTCTGCCAGGGCCTCTGCAATTTCTTCCCTAGCCTCCCACAATGTCCCTGGTTGGGCTGGATCAAGCCCAGGGGATTTATCCACCTTAATGCGCTTTAAGGCTGCAAACACCTCCTTTCTGGTAATATGTATGCGGTCCAAAACATCCCTGCTTGTTTCCCTTAGTATCCACGATTCTGTCCTCAGTAAACACTGAGGAGAAATATTCATTAAAAATCTCCCCCATCTCCTATGGCACAACACAAAGACAGCCATGCTGATCTTTAAGGGGTCCTATTCACTCCCTAGCCACCCGTTTACTCTTAATATAGCTACAGAACCTCTTGGGATTATCTTTAACCTTATCTGCCAGATCCATCTCATACCCTCTTTTTGCTCTTCTGATTTCCCTCTTAAGCGTGCTTGTACACTTTTTGTAGTCATCTAGGGATTCATTTGAGCCTGATAGCTTAAACTCAGTGTGTGCCTTTTTTTTTCCAGACCAGAGTCTCAATATCCCTCATCACCCAGGGATCCTTAAACCTGCTAGCTTTTCCCTTCACTGTAACAGGGACACACTGTCCCTGGACTCTTGATATCTCACTTCTAAAAGCCTCCCATTTGCCAGTCATTCCTTTTCCTTCAAACAGACTCACCCAATTGACATCTGCTATATCCTGCCTAATGGCCTCAATATTGGCCCTGCTCTGGTTCAGGACCTTAACCTATGGACCTGTCCTACCTTTATCCATAACTATGTTAAGAGAGTTATGGTCACTGGACCCAAAGTGCTCTCTGACTGACGCTACAGTCACTTGCCCGACCTCGTTTCCTAAGAGAAGGTCCAGTGTAATACCCTCACGAGTAGGGCCCTCTACATATTGATTTAGGAAACTTTCTTGGACACATTTGACAAATTCCACCCCGTCTGCGCCTTTTACACTCTGGGTGGCCCAGTCAGTACAGTTACAATCTCCAACCATTTCCTACAGGTGTCTGCATTCTGTCTACACATCTGCTCGTGTAGTACCCACTGGCTATTTGGGGGCCTATAATACAGTCTCAACAGAGTGACCACCCCCTTCCTGTTTCTAAGTTCAGAAATCACACGACACCATGTTATAGTCCAGTAGGTTTATTTGAAAACGCAAGCTTTCAGAGCCTCACTCCTTGTTCAAGCATTAGTCTGACAGGTTTATTTGAAAACACAAGCAGCGAGGCTCCGAAAACTTGTGTTTTCAAATAAACCTGTTGGACTATAATCTGGTGGTGTGTGATTTCCGACTTTGTCCACCTCAGCCCAACACCAGCATCTCCACAACTTGTTTCTAAGTTCTGACCATTTGGCCTCATTTGATGACCCCTTAAGAATACCCTCCTTAAGCACTGTTGTTATGTCCTCCCTGATCAAAAGGGTAACCCTGCCTCCTTACTTACTTGTACTTCTGTCATGCCTGTAGCTTCTGTATCCTGGAACGTTGAGCTGTCAATCCTGCCCTTCTCTCAGCCCTGTTTCTGTTATGGCTATAATATCTCAGTCTCCAGAGCCAATCCATGATCTGAGTTCATCTGCCTTACCAATCAGGACTTGTGTGTTGAAATAAATGCACTTTAGATCAGAAGCCTTTTCCTTCCCTTGACTGTACCCCTGGCTATCTCAAATCTCCTTGCGAGGATATTGAACACATCCTGTTCAAGTGCAACCCATTCCTCTTGTACAGGTCACCTCTGCCCAAGGAGTTCCCAATGACCCAAGAACTGAAAACCCTGCCCACTACACCAGCTCCTCAGCCACACATTCATCTGGCCTAAATTTCTATTTCTATCCTCACTGGCGCATGGCACTGGGAGTAATCCAGAGATCACTACCCTTGCGGTCCTGCTTTTTAACTTCTTTACCTAACTCCCTATACTCGTTTCAGAGGACCCCATCCCTTTGTCTACCCATGTCATTTGTACTGATGTGCACAATGACCTCTGGCTGTTCACCCTCCCCCTTCAGAATGTTATGCAACTGCTCAGAGACATCCTTGACCCTCGTACCCGGTGTCTGTTCTGCAGCCATAGAATCTCCTGTCTGTCTCCCTCTCAATCGAGCCTCTTCTCGGTATTGCTGTGTCTGACTGCACCCTTTCCCTCTGAGCCTCAGAGCCAGTCACAGTGCCACTGACCTGACTGTGCTGCTGCTAGCCCCTGAAAGGTCATTCCCCCCAACACTATCCAAAGTGGTATACCTGTTAT